TGTCAGTTGGCAGTTTATGAAACAGCAATTAGAACAGATGGAATTTGGTGAACAATTTATAAATGCAATAACATTTATAAATGCAATAATAGAAACAAACTGCCAGGATAATAGTTAATGGAGGATTCACAGAGACTATAGATGTTCAAAAAGGCACAAGACAAGGATGCCCCTTATCGCCATTGTTATTCTGATCTTAGAGGTTTTAAATAGAAGTATTAGAGAAGATATGGATAGTAAAGGTGCTAGAATCAGAGATGAAAGCTACAAACTTTCATTTGTAGACGATTTAGTATTTATTTTAGAAGACCCTCTGGAAACGACGCCTAAACTTCTAAAAAAAATAGAAGACTATGGTGAAGTTACCAGGATGAAAGTAAATAAAGAAAAGACTAAGCTACTAGTCAAAAAACTCTCGCTGGAGCAAAAAGCAACCTTGATGGAACAAGTAGATCTTCAACTAGTTAAAAAGGTTAAATATTTGGGAATTTCTTTAACAGCCAGATGTGCTACACTGAAAGAAGATAAGTTAAGTTGCTTAAGGAGATTAAGAGCAATTTAGAAAAATGGACTAACTTAGAACTATCACTTTTGGGAAGAATAGCCATAGTTAAAATGAATATATTATCTAAGCTTTTGTTTTTATTCCAAATAATTCCTATAAAAATTGAGTTTTTTGATTATTTAAATACACAAGTTTTGAGATTTATATGGCAAAAGAAAAAATCAAGGATTAAGTTAAAAATGCTCCAGGAGGCTAAAGAGAACGGGGACTTTGGCCTTCCAGACTGGTTGCTGTATGTGTTTTAAAGCATGTGTTTTAATGTGGTTAAAAGAATGGATAACACTAAGAAGCAAAAGAATTTTATACGTTGAAAGACATGAATTGCAGATGAGATGGCATGCTTTTATGTGGTACGAGAAATGTAAGACACACAGTTATTTTCTAAACCACTATATTAGGAATTCAGTGATGTTGGTCTGGGAAAAACTAAAGCTAAAACTTTATACTAAGATGCCGAGATGGCTTTCTCCTATGGAAGCCCTTGTATAGCCAAATGCATTGAACTTTAATCAGATTGTGAAGTATAGTGATATCTTAGATAATGATGGAAAACTGAAACCAAATCAAGAACTACAAGAACAGAGTATTGATCTTTCTTGGTGGCATCAGGTGCAAATGCAATCGAGGCATGCTAAAGATTATAGAATGTATGGTTTTTATAAGGAACAAACAATGTTTGACCAAATAATTTTAAAATCAGATGAAAAAATGATTAAAAGGTTATATAATTTTCTTTTGGACATGAGAATGGAAGATGAACAAGTTAAGGAAACTATCATAACATGGTCACAAAATTTTGGATACAGTATTGAGCTACAGAAATGGCAAAAGTTGTGGGAAAGGAATATTAGGATAACTTTAGCAACTTCATATAAAGAAAATCTTTATAAAATGTTCTATAGATTTGTTGTCGCCAAAGAGATTAGCAATGTTCCCAAATATGTCAAATAGATGTTGGAAGCGTAAACAAAAACCTGGTACTTTTTAATCATATGTGGTGGATTTGTCCTAAGGCAGAAAAATACTGGGTTAAAATACATAAATGGCTTGAGGAAATGCTGCAAAAACCTCTAATATTCAAACCTGAAGTATTTTTATTAGGTATTCTTCCTGACAATCTTGACAAACAAAGTATATATTTGATTATACATGTAATTACTGTGGCGAGGATTGCTCAATATTGGAAGAGTGAAGAACCACCAACTGAAGAGCTGATTCTAAATAAGTTTCTGGACTGTATAGAAATGGATAGACTGACTTTGTCTCTGAAGGTGAAGGAAGATACATAATTCTATCAAACCTGGAATTTCTTCTATCATTGTTTAGGGAAATGGGACTATATGTAAAGCTGAAACCTTTATTAATTGTAATAAGAATAACATGTCAACCCAGTATGTCCGATGTCTCGGGAATAATTGTTGTTTTAGTTTAAATTAGTAGAGAAAATAATTTTAAAAAATTAAAAAATTCTGGGAGGGGCCATTTTTGTTCCCCAATCCTCCAGATAATTGAAGTCCCCCATTACTACCACAACACTCTTCGTTGAAACACTGGCAATCTGCTTAATGAAAGTTTCATCCTCATTTCCTCCTTGACTGGGTGGTCACTAGAAGTCTCCAACTATCATGTTCCTTTTATTGCTTGATGCATTTCTTTTGGACCGAATGTTCTTAATGGAGCTGCCATGCTCATCTTCCTGTATTCCTTTGCAAAGATAACTATTTTTAACATATAATGAAACTCTGTCTCTCTTGCAATCCTTTTGTCCTAGTTGAGCAAGTTATACCCTCCAAGTGCTATCTCCCATCAAAAGAATCATCCTACTGAGTTTCAGTAATATGTATCAAGTCATATTTGCGTCCTGTGCTTTATGGTCTGGTGTCTTTTCTTATAGCATTGAAAGGACTACTTTGGGTGGGAGTAGAGCTTTTTTTCTGTGTTCTGCTGCATATCCACAGTAGCTTCCAGGTCCACATTTCCCTGCCAGGAGGCTCAATTTAAAGTCCTCCTGATGAAATTCTTCATGCTGTAGCAAAACACATTCTTTCCAGCTCTGGTGAGGTATTATCCATCCCCCAGCAGCAGTCCGTCATCCAAATATTTTATTGTCCCACAAACTGAATCTCTCATGTCAGCTCCACCTTTGTAGCCAGTCAGAGCCAGTGTTTTGGATTATTGCTGGGTGTTATATGTAGAGTTGCCTGTGAAATTGGTCTGGATACAACAGGTTGAAAAGTCCATCAGGTTGCTATAACTGGAACACAAGCACAAGGTTGCTGGAGAAGGAAAGAGGTCTATACAAGATGCAAGAAGAATTGAAGTAAAAGCAAATACAGGCTGGTAAGATAAAACAGGGTCAGTGTTCCAGTAAAGTATGTCAGGTACAAAAGCAAAGGCAGAGTTATGAAAGGCAAGGGTCAGATACAAACAAACCATGGTAGGTCCTGAGGTGAAGGCAAGGTCAGGAGCTGGTAAAGATCAGGTACTAATAGGCAGAACCAGAGGCAAAGGCAAGGAACTGAGGCAAGCTGAGGTCAAATACCAGTGAGGCACACTCAGAACAGAGAATAAGGATCTGACAAAGTGAGGTTAATGGAAGGCAAGGCCAGGCACCTCGCTTGCAGGAGTCGAGGTGCAACTGGTAGAAGATCAGGAGCCCAATGTAGCTACTACAAAAGCCTGGGCTTTCCAAAGATCCCAGCTGTGTTGCATGATTACATAGCCTCTGATCCCTTCAAGTACCCATGGGTGTAGTTCTGGTCCTTACGGGGTGAAATGTGCTGATTGTCACCTGGGGGAGCTGTGTCACAGCTTTTGATCCTGACAGTCCCTCCTCTCCTTGGGAAGGAGTTTCTACCACTATTCGTGATCCTGGGTTGTCAGCATGTGCACAGAAAAAAAGAAAGAAACTTGGCAGGGGTAGCTGCCCCAGGGTTTGCCAGGAGGTGGCAGTGGCTCCAGGAAGCATTAAGGTATATAGTGAGGTATATTTGATCTAGCAGATGTGTTGCAGAACTGAATATATCTCCTGACATCTGATTGGAGAGTTGGCCACCAGAAGGCCCAATAAAGGCAGTATGAGGGTTTTAGAGTACCCCGTAACACTGTCTGATGACCTGCTTCCCTGCTACTGGGCTTCAGCAAGACAAGTAGATGCATAATGCTTTCCCAGCCACAGTAAAGGCAAACAGCCAAGACACATTGCTGCTACTTCTTGGTTTCTGTCCAAGGGACCTGAGAACCAGCCATCAGGTATTTGGGGCAGGCTGCAGTGCCTTGGTCACCTATCCAAACTTGGAGAAGTGATGTTTCCTGGTCAAGGTGTAGAAGTAGCTGCAGGTCCAGGACTATGTCCCAGCTTCAGATCCTGATACAAATCATTTTATGTTGTGAGCCGCCCCGAGGCTTCAGCGAATGGGGCGGCATAGAAATGTTTTAATAAATAAATAAAATAAAATCCTAAATAGCTTCTTTATGATCTGCACTGGCTTTCATTCCATTACCTGGCCCAATACTGTTATTAACCCTCAAAGCCCCAAACAGGTTAACTGAAAAATAACATGAAAGGTATACACCTGCCAAAACAGTGAACCTTAAATTCATCTTCAGAAGTCCTCCTCCTCAGGTGAGGGCCTTTTCCATTGTGGTGTTCCAGTTGTGGAATATATTCCCCAGAATAGCTCACTTTGCTCTTACATTGTGGTCTTTCTGGTGCCGGGTGATGACAAGTTTATTTTGAAAACCTCCTTTAGTTGTTCAGTTTTAAAAGCTGTGTTACTGCAGGTCTTTGCACTGTTGTTTTTAATTTTATTTTGCTCTTCTTTTGTTTAAACTTCTTTGGTTTAAAACTATTTTCCTATGTTTAGTATTTCATGGTTTACGTTTTGTTTTGTGAACCACCCAGTTGTTTTTATTTGCCATCAGTCACCTCTGACTTATGGGGACCCTCTGAATGGATGCCCTCCAAAATGGCCTGGCCTTGATAACCTCGCTTAGCTCATGTAAACTCAACATAACAGCTTCTTTCTGTACGTCATCTTAATCCAAAAGTATGTTTTTTTCTTTCAGAATTATTTATCCAGAAGTAAATGAAGTTCTGTAGCAAAAGGATAAAGTTCCTATTTGTGTGGATTTATGGCTTACTGCTAGAGTAAACCATCTGGATGTTATAGAACAAATAAATCAATCTCCAAGTTAAAAAAATGTTTATATTTTATTCTTTGGAATGTCTATAAGCTTGAAACACTTGATTAATAGCTTTTGTTTGCTCATTCCATTCAGATGGTGGTATTTTGTTTTTTTTATATTCACTCACATTTTACACATTGACAATGGCTTGTATGTTTGTCAAACTTATATAACCAAAGCTCCCTGGGTGTAATCCCAATTGTAATCCAATGTGTCTTCTATTTCTTTCCTATGCAACTTTTTATAGGCCCACCTGGCTCCAGAGGTGATTCAGGAGATCCAGGAAAACCTGGTCCCATGGGTGTGAAAGGCCTACCTGGTGAAAAAGGTGAACCCGGTCTTTTTGGAGATAAAGGCAAAGTTGGTTTCACTGGTCTTCCTGGAATAGATGGAATGCCTGGTCTCCCAGGCCTGAAAGGTAAAGCATAATCAAAACAAAATGTGTTCTAATCCCAGAATTACATGACCAATAAGGAAATTAATCTAAGAAGGAGATTAATTGGTGACTGGCACACATATTGTTCCTAGCTGGAAAATAATTGGTATGAAAGCATAGGAAATTATTTTTGCTCTGATGATCAATTAATATAGCAATTATATCATATTGCTAAAAATAAGAGTTTAAAATTACTGAAAATCTTTTGTTTCTTCCAAGGCTGCAAGAGTGTTCTATAAATCATTTGGGATACTACTTTCCCTTTATTTGAGAAGCAGGGCTTTGAAATAAGGGTCTTCTATATCCTACCATCTCTATTATAGAGGGATGGAACTGACAGCACACTCCTTCCCCAGCAGTCAGGATTTTGTTGAGGAAAAAAAAGTCCCCCTATTTTAGTGATGGCGAACCTTTTAGAGACCGAGTGCCCAAACTGTAACCCAAAACCCACTTATTTATCGCAAAGTGCCAACACTACAATAAATCCTGAATACTGAGGTTTTAGTTTAGAAAAAAACTAAATATGATGCTGCAGATTCAAATATGCCAAGGGAACAGCACAACATTAGAAGAATCTCAGTCTCTTAATTAGAACAACTCTTTGCTAAATCTTAGATATTGAATTTCAATTTTTCATAAGAAAACTCAAAGCTAAAATCTTGTGTTAATAAAAACAAATGTATTAAAATTCGCAGCCAGTCCAAGCAAATCTCAATATCTCTCTCTCTCTCTCTCTCTCTCTCTCTCTCTCTCTCTCTCTCTCTCTCCTTGACAGCACACTGACCAGCCATACGAAAGCTCGGATGAGTCGTGGCTGAGCCATGGCTCGTGGTGTCATTGCCTGGTGCCACTACTCCTTTCCGAGCATGCGCATGGCCCCTGTGTGTGCTGTTATCCAATGTTCAGCTGCTGGGGTGATGCTGGGGTGACTTGGCTCATGTGCCGACAGAGAGGGCTGTGTGTACCCGCTGTGGCACGCATGCCATAAGTTCACTACCACTGCCCTAGTTCATTGTCTGATTGTGAGAAAGATAAGCAACACCGCTAATAGTCATTTTATTTACTTGCTTATTTATTTATATCTTTATTTTAGGTATATGCTAGCAATATAGAGTTAGCCTATCTCCATTTGGGAACAGCTGCTCCAGTGATCATGTACTGCCAGTATATACACTTAGCTTTTTGTAATGAGTAAGAACAGATTTCATAGCAGGAAACATTACTCAATAAAAAACAGGACATGTCCATCCACATAATGAAATTATAATTAGCAGGAAACATTAATTTACTTTTTGAGCATGATTATCTTGACCCACATCTCCCCTTGGGACATCGGTGTTGAAAATCTGCCTCCAGGCTTATCTTTACAACTCTGGCCTTCTTGACAGATGTTTTGACCCTCTTTTGTCTTCCTGATAGAATGTTAAGTAGCTGACCCTTGTTCTTTGGTCATCAGAAAAAAATATATATATTCTTCAATTGAAACAGCAAAGTACTGCTATGTGTGTGCCAAAATTGGAGCAACATTACACTTAGGAGTATGTGAGTCCATTTGCCACAGTTACCGTTTTGACCTTACTAGATCTAACAGGGGAATGGGCCATTTCTCAGTTTATAATATAGGTGTATACTCAGTGACCCATCAGGTCCAAGTGAGCCTATCAAGTTCAAAGAAAAACAGAACAAGATCTACTTGCTCTCACAAAATGAAAACAAAACAAGAGTGCACACATTTCAGCTGAACACAGATCATCAAAGGAACCAATCAACTTCCCTTCTTCCCATAAGAGCCCTGGTGGTAAGAGGTCCAGGAATGTAGGGGTGAGGTAGGATCTGACTCTTCAGTGTCATCTGCAACTATGGCCTTCATTGCTCACTCCTAATTCCAGATCATTTATGAATGAAAAGCTTTGGTCCTCATTAGAAAATTAGCAAGATCCAGCCAGAATCCATCTGTCTTGTGCTTGCCAGACTTCTTTCCCATGCACAGCCCTGGTCAGGAAGCAAGCCAAGCTTGCTGTGAACACTGGGGAATACTAGCAGGCCCCTTTTTTGTGCAAAGTATGCAATTTTTTTGCACAAAGTATACAAAACCTGCAAGTCTTGTGCACAGAAGCAGAACTCCACTTGCACAGCATGTGTGCAGGCAGTGTGTGCACAAGCTGGCCTCATAGACTTGCTTCCTGCCAGACACTCACACAAACACTTGGCAGGAAGGTGGACTTAGAAAGAAAACAAGCTGGAGTCTGAGGAGATGAGCTGAGGAAATCTCATGGTTTCTTACCCCCAGGCCAGATTCCTCACACATCACCTGTCCTAACATACTTTTCTATGGGACCCCACTGGCTGCATCCCTCCATTGGAAGAAATTACCATTTATTTCCACTCTTTAATTTCATTCCTTAACAAATTACTTATCTGTAAGAGGATCTACCCTCTTAGACCATGACTGCTAAACGCAGGAATCTTGATGAGGAACTTTATCAGAAGCATTTTGGAATCTCAAGGAAACAATGTGTACTATCTGACCCACTTCTCCAAAAGGGAGCCAACATAGTTTTTCCACACATTCCTTTCAAACCCACTTTGTACCCCTTCCAGAGATTTTTGAGATGGTGTGGAAGTCAGAATGGACTGCTCCTTCTAAAGCCAAGCCAAATCACAAATTTCAAACAGCTACATGTATTTCCAGGCAAGACAATAGAACTATTTAAAGTTTATGGGGGAGAACCCTTCCCCAGTGGTCACACTTAAGTCCTCAATGTCATTCCAGTGGATGGGAATTTGAACCCAAATACCAGTGACATTGCAGCTCTTCAGCAGCTTCCAGAATGTTCATCACTAACATTCTTCATCGTGGTCTCCATGTATCACACAATATGGGTGCTGTGCCTGTGCAGTGCCTGTTGCCAGGAAGATTTAATAGCTTTAATGGTTTTTGGAGGGAACTCTGCACCCTCGCCCCACCCTGTAGTATAAATGGTCAGAGTGCCCACCCTTTCCCCAGTCTGCTTGTGACTGTCGTTTGTCATGCCTCAAGCCTTTTCTCTTCGCTTGTCTCCTTGTCTTCTCAATTGTATTCTTTTAAAACTTAAACTTTTTCTTTCTTTTAAACTCCACTTTACACCCTAAATCCTGTTTTTCACCCTTACCAAACCCTTACCTTTATTTCTTGTTCTATTCCCCCCTTCCCTTTACCCCCCCCACACACACCCTCTATTGTCCTTGTCTCTCCACAAACTATCTCCATTTGTTGTCTTTCTCTCTCTCCTTCTTCTCAATGGCACAGCAGACAGCCTTCCGTAAGTTATCACAGTACAGAGCCAAAATGTCTCCCACTGATCCTCACGATCTGTGCTTTCTCTGCCTTGGAGAAGGGCACAGGACCAACCAGTGCAGCCACTGCCAGTTGTTCACCAGGCAGGCTCACAAAAACCATGAGAATAGGATATGCAAAATGTTATGGGATCAAGGACTGGTCGCTATGAAGCAGGCCTTGGCTGAGGCCAACTCTTCCATGGCTTCGGGACTGTCAAAATCCATCCCCCCCTTGCTTATCCAAAGGGGATCTCATCAGCATGGATGGAAAGCATTCCTCTCATTCTCCTCCTTGCAAACATAAGGAGAAGAGGAATCATGTCAGGTCCGAGGAATCATCGAAACCAGAGCACCCTAAGAAGGACAAATCCGAGCATCAGCACAAGAAGCATGACAAAGTGCCCCACTCTGAACCAAGTGCCTCACCAAACTTGGTTCTGATCTTGGTTCTGGCTGAACCACCAAGCCGCCAATCAGTTATGCAGGTGACACCTCCACCATCACCTCTGCGGATTACAACTTCACTACACTCCAGTCCCGACCACTCCGATCCTTTGGCAAAAGCTTCAATTTCCAACAGGGAGATCCATGAATCTCCTCCCCAGTCAGGACCAGATCGACTGCAAGATTGCCAACTCCTACACCTGCAGGGAAATCATCTCCATAGGGCTCTCCGAGGGCACCTCAATGCCCATCGTCCCTCTTACCACCCCAGCCTTCTGCACCACAACCATCGTGGTACTGGGTTTCTCTACCCTATGGAGAATTTGACCTCGGCCGTATGGAGTGACACTATCCCTGGAATTACTACCCCCCATACAGATATTACCCACGACCAATGTGTCCCCATCACTCCACCCCCACTCGGTATCGAGGGATGCCCCATCAACATATGCTGCAGCGCTCACCCGTCCACCAACATCTCCTGACAGGTCTTCATTCAGTCCACCCTATTAATCTGACTTGGATTCGGAGGACTGTCAACAAGTTTCTACTTCTCCCGAAGCCGTTATCTCCACCCAAGCACCCCCGCCCCCGCTATCTTCCTAGTAACTCACATTTACTGGTAGGATTCTGTTGTTAACCTTAAGGAAAAATAAGAAAAAGCACCTGTTGTTACAGCAGACTAAGCAAGTTATCAAAAGGTAGCAAGAAGAAAGGACCAAGCGGTGGTGACCTGCAAGATCTGTGCAATGTTTGTTTTCTTTCCTAAGATCTACATGGCCTACATGGACAACAAGCTAGTAGCCCTGTTGGAAGAAAAGATGAGAGCGATAGAGCAGTGAGTGTCCACTCTCAAGGTCATAAAAGAAAATAAGGGTTTTTAGTCAGAGTGGTGGAGCTGCAACAGCTAAGAGTAGTATAGAAACTAGATGTGCAACAGCAAGCAGAGGTGGAAGGGGAGAATCCTGAGGGAAAAGCAAATGAGAAGGAAATTTCCTCAGAAAAAGTGACACTTAAGTGTAGATGCACTTGTGGAAGTAGTGGTATTCTCACACCAGTTTCTGTTTCTTGAGGATGAGATTGTGTAGGAAGAACCATGGAAGAACTGCAAGTCATCCCATGCAACACTGAACAAGAGTCTATAGGACAACCAAGTAGGGGCAATGATACCAAGGCTTGCAAGGAAGAAGCAAAGACTGTTAGTTGTGGGAGATTCTCTGTTGTGTGGGTTGGAAAAACCTGTATGTCATGAAGACCTGTGGCCTCATTAAGTATGCTGTCCACTTGGAGGACAGTTTGTGGAGGACAGTGATATAACTGATATTAAACTTAAACTGATATAACTGAAAGATTCCTAAGGCTCATACAACTCACATGTATCCTTTCCTTCTTATATACGTGGGAAACAAATGACACTGCCAAGCAGAGCTTTAAAGAAATCACATCAGAATTTGAAGCTTTAGGAAGGAAAGTCAAGATATCTGGGGCCCAGATAGTTTTCACCTCAGTCGTTCCAATTCTTGGAAGGGAGCGAAAAATCTTCCAAGTGAATGTCTGGCTACAAAGATGGTGCTGACAAGAGCCATTTGGATTCTGAGACCAGGGGCCTGGAAGATGGGCTGCTGACAAGGGATGGACTGCACCTTACAAAGACTGGAAAGAATGTGTTTGGTCACAGCGTGAAGTTTATCAGGAGGGCTTTCAACCTGAATCATACAGGAGAGGGAGAAGTACACCTGGGCATAACAACATACAAAGGCTTATGCACCACAAGAGAGAGCAGCTCTACCAGTGCCCAATAATAGTTTTCCAAAAAGAGTAGGAAGATAGCTAGAGTACAAAGCATAAATGCCCCACCCACTTCCACAGCCTGTCCAGATCATTCTGAATCTGGATCACCTGCTCCTCAATTGTGGCCACCATCCCCACTATGGTATCATCAATGAATTTAGTCAACATCACTCCATCCTGGACTACCACTGGACACTTTGTGTAGAACAGCAACGTGGTCAGCACCATCCACATTTGTCCACCATTATCATCCCAGTGTCAGAGCCAGACAGGACTGTTCTTTTTGTCAGACTGTGTTGCCCTCCATTCTCTTGTAACAACACCTCCAACCCCCTTTTGATGGTGTGCTTGCTAATCACCCGTATGTGTGATGCACAGGGAACACAATGAAAGGCAGGTTGCATACCTGTAACTGTTGTTCTTCCAGTGGTCATCTGTGGATTCACTCAACTCTCTCTCTCTCTCTCTCTCTCACACACACACACGCGCGCGCGCGCGCGCACACACACACACACACACACACCTGTATATTTGTATATACATGTCTGTCTCTCTCCTCTTATCTACGTAGTGATAGGATGTTTAGGAATAGAAACATAGGGCACACAACAGTGTCCAGCAGGACTGAGAAAATGGTGGGAGCCCGCCAATTTATATAGTGAGAGAGGGGAAGCAGGTTTCCTGCCAAAAATTCTAGGCTTCACTAGTAAAATCTTCCCAAATGTGGCACTGTGCAGGTGCAGCATCCGTATGTATGAATGCACAGATGACCATTCAAAGAACAGTTACAAGCATGCAACCTGCCTTTTCCTGATCTACATAGGGGCTATAAAAAGAATTGCCTTATGATGTCTTTCTCCAGACTTAATTTAAGTTCAAGAAACTGGTAGAAATATGATTGTAATGAAAGGCAAGACACTCCTTGGACACTTAATAAAAGGAATCTAGGAGTAACTCACAAGTGATTCAAATGAATTAGGATTTCTATGAATTTAGCCTGTGAATTCCATAGCAGTTTCATCGATTTTGTGAATTTGATTTATTTTATTTACTTACATTTTTATAGACTGTCACAATAGCTGCATGGCTTTCTTGGCAGTTTACACAGTTAAACCAGTCAGATTTGATGACTGGTTTATTCCTTTTAGTGGATATGTCCTTTAATTTTTGTCATGTTCCCCTCCCCATCAAAAAAGGTATAAAAGCAACCAGTGAAATTTAAATATTGGTCAGGATGGACTTTAGTTTAAAGGGATGGGACCAAGAAAGAACTGGGTGGCTTAAGGAGGAAGGGGAGGCGCCTTGGGGTCTTCTGGTATGTTGCTACTAGAAATCTCACAAAATTCCCTTTAGAAATAGTTTAAATTGAACTTGACCTGGCTTTAAGAACTAAGTAGTGATATCAAATGAATTCTTGTTTGAATGGGCATGAGTTCTCTTCTATTTTTTCCCATAAAGGTGATAAAGGCTCTCCTGGTATTGGAGGTTTCAAAGGTGCTATTGGCATCAAAGGTTGGCCAGGATGGCTGGGAGTCAAGGGAGAGAGAGGCCTCCCTGGCAGACAAGGTCTTCAAGGTGTGCCTGGTGATCTGGGACAGAAAGGTACTGTAAGCATGTTTTTAAAGGAACAGTGTGTTTATGTCATTGTAATGATCCGTCCTGCTCCAAAATTTCTAGCATAATCATAGGCAAGTCTACACAGAATCAAGTCACATTGCATTCAGTTGGTCTTAGTGCTATTTAAATGTACATAGCTTTAACCTTGCAGAGTCTCTCTGGTTTTAGCTGTTTAATTTGATTTTAATTTTTTAATTTAATAAAACATTTTTATCCCATCTTTCACTAAACGTCTCAAGACAGGAGGCGAGTTCAACAGGAGGTGTTGTATTTTCCTTTAGGGAAGGTTTATTGATCCCTTGGTTGTTAAACAAAGACAACATTGTTATCCACCTGCCTTCTTCATGACCAGTCCAGAGAAGGGCCTTTGACTACACTCCCATGTCATTGCTATGGGAACAGTAGATGGGCTACTTTCCACCAAGACATGGAGCTTAGATAAAACCTACATTATCTTGTTCTAGTTTAAGTAGAATACTATGATTCTTTATTTTTCTTGTTTTATCCTGTTGTTCCTACAAAGAACTCAAGGCAACACAATGATTTCTTCTGTTTGCTGCTCAAGTCATGCATATTTTATGATAATGAATGTATAATTTATTGTATGTGTTGCATTTTTATTATTGTATTTCACAGCTACTTGGGATACAGTAGACCATATTAAAATATGTTGCTGCTGTCTTTCTGAGCCGCATTTATCCTTACATTGTGATGTAGGTTAGCCTGAGAGAGAAAAAGACTAACTTACCTTCATCATCCCAAGGTCACCTAGAAAACCTTCATGGTTAAGCGGAGATCTAAACCTAAATCTCCTCAGTCCCTATACAAAACATCTAGTGCATCATACTGGCAGCTAGAAACAAAGCTCACCAGAAGGGTTCTCCTGGGCCATCTAGTCTGACCCCCAGCTCCAGATGGATCAACTCATGCAATCCCTAACATGTGGTTGTCCAATCTTTCCTTGAACACCCTCACTGATGGGGCATCAGCCACCTCCCTTGGGAGCCCATTCCATAGGGATCCTAACTGTCAGAAAGTACTTCCTGATATCCAACCTCAAGCTGGTTCCTTGTGCTTTGCCCCATTGGAACACGTCCTGCCCTCCACAATAGGGAAGAATGGGTCACAGCCCTCCTCCATATGACATCCCCTCACATACCTATAAGTCACTAAGAGATCCCCTCAGAGTCTCCTCTTCTCCAAGCTGAAAAGACCCAGTTCCCTCAATCTCTCCTCATATGTCATCCCTTCCAAACCGGCTACCATTCTTGTAACCTTGCGCTGAAACAATTCTAACCTAGCTATGTCTTTCCTATAATGTGGAGCCCAGAACTGGATGCAGTACTCCCGTTGTGCATGCACCAGAGTCGTGTAGAGCAGTATCAGCACCTCCCTAGAACCGCCATGTTTCTGGCTATACATCAGCCGGTACAAGCAGGTTTCCAGAAAGGCCTTGGAACCATTGACCACTGCCAAACATTGCATCAACTGCCCCACTTTGGTATTAATGGGTACAGAAAGGACTTCTGTTGGACTTCCAGTTGACATTGCGGCGAGACGGCTGTGGAGAATGGGGACTCCGTACTTCATGCCAAAATCCATTCTACAGAGGCCCCTGGGAGGCCCATCCAAGCCCTGTTGGGGCAGGGATTAGAAGCCCGAGCTTACTTCTGCCTGGTGGGGGGCAGCAGTCTCCCATCCGTCAGGAGAAATTCGGGGGAATTCTCAATGAACGGAGAGAGAGGGGTGTACCCCGCCCCCTCACAAGCTGTTGGCACCAGATTAGTAGCGAAGAAAAAAGAAAGAAGCTTAAAAGTGGACATCGGACCTGCTGGGTGAGCACTTAAACTTTTCAAAATACTGCCCGTGAAAGGACCTGTGAAACAACTATCAATCTGAATAAAAAAAGAAAGGCCCTCTTGACAGAGGGAGGAAACTCCCCCCTGTGAAGTTTAAGCTGCAACAAATCTAGGGGAGATTAAGTGAAACAGGGGAAATTTGAGACTTGGAAAAGAAGAGGTTTTTTATGTCTAATCTCCCCAGGGGCGAAGAATTAATTTTGATTTACTGTATATTAATTGGTAGAAAAAGTTTTCTTTCAGTTTTGTTTCTGTATGCCTCTTTCAGGACTGACATGGTGATTTGATCTTTTCAGTTCCTGCATGAAGTTGAAGGTCTTCTTGTCTTTGTTATACTAAAAAATAACTTTTTGCTGCCACCCTGTGGTCATTTTATTCTTCAACAGATACATTGTTTGCCAGAAAAAAATTTTTCTCTCTTTGTGATCTTTTGCTGCCATTTTGTGGCCATTTACCACAACAGGTTATTTAAAAAATTGTCTCAATTAAACCTTTCATTTTCATCATGAAAAAAATTCATCCTTCATCTTTGGCAACTGCATCTGCCTTGCAAAGTCCAACACATCAATTAAAAACTGTGGATTTGGAAAAATTTCAAAAAGACCTACATGTGACACTTTTGGCAATGCAAGCATCTCAAGAGTCTGTGCAAAATACTCTACAAAAATTGGCTTTGGAACAAAGGAAAGACTGGATAAATTGGATAGTCATGTCTTGGATATAAATAACGAACTTGCAGATACCAGACTTAAAACAAACAAACAAAAACATGAACAAAACGAACAAAAAATACAAGAAGTGGAAAAGAAGACTGATGATACTGACAAGAAAACTGAAAAGATGGATAAAGTGATGCAACAATTAACACAAACAAGTCATTATGGGATTCAGTTGCCATACTGGAGATGGAGAAGGCATCTGATTATTTAAGATTTCAGAATACACCAGAAGCAAAAAATGAAAACCCAAGTGATTTAATAAACATTATGCTAGCAGATGCTCCTGCTTTGGAAAAAAAAGAGATTGATAAAGAGCTTAACCTGGTTTATACAGTAAACTTAAGCTATGTTAGAAGGCATAAACTTCAGTGAGAGAATGGATAATTTTAAGGGAGTTCTATATCTTGAAGGGCATGATTTACAAATGGGATGGATGGTTTATATGTGGTAAGGGTATTGACATTTCTTGGTGGCACAAAGTTCAAATATGATTGAGATATGTGAAGACTATAGAATGAATAATTTTATAAGGAATTAGCAGCATTTGATCAAATGACTTTAAAATTAGATAAAAAAATGATTAAAAGATTATATAACTTCCTTTTGGGCATGAAAATGAAAGATAAACAAGTTAAGGAAACTATGATAACATGGGCACAAAATGTTGGATATAATATTGAGTTACAGAAATGGCAAAAGCTGTGGGAAGAAATATTAAAGTAACCTTAGCAACTTCATATAAAGAAAACCTATATAAATGTTTTATAGTTAGATGTTAATGTTTTATAAATAGTATCTATCCCCAAATAGATTAGCAAAAATGTTAATTGAAGAGTTGCTCTTAAAAAGGATTTTAGTTTACACAGATTGACCTTGTTTCTGAAGGAGAAGGAGGATGAATATTTCTACTAAACTTGGAACTCTTTTTATTATTGGTTAGAGAAATGGGACTATGCATAGATTTGAATATGGTTATTGACTGTTAAAAAGAGGAAGATGTCAACCCAGTATATCCAATGTCTTAAATAACTGTTGTTTTTAATGTTAGATTGTTGAGAAAATAATAAAATTCATTTAAAAAAAAGGAAAAAAAGAAAGGCACCTATGTTGACCTGGCAGCAGCGTTTGATCAATAGATCATGCCTATGGGCTAAGCTCGCTGCAGTGAACATAGACAAAAGACTACTTTCTCTGCTCCAAGAGATCCACAGAGACACAGTTGCACAAATCATAGAAATATAGAGACAGAGCGAGTCAGAAGGGGCCTCCCGGGTCATCTAGTCTGACCCCCCCAGCTCCAGCCAGCTGCACTCACGACATGCCCACCATGTGCATGTCCAGCCTATCTTTGAATACCCTCACCAATGGGGCCTCAACCACCTCCCGTGGAAATCAGGGTGGGAACCTCTGGTTTCCTAACAATAGAAATTCCCATTAGAAAAGGTGTGAAGCAGGGGTGTGTGCTGGCCCCCTTATTATCTAACCTCTACATAAATAATATTGTAGCGTGTTTATCAGGACCACAATTTACAGATAAGAGCTAGGGAGGCTTTGAAAGGGAAACTGTCCTGAATCACACCTGGTCCGTCTTTTAGTATTATGTTTTAATATGTTTGATTTATGGTTTTATTCGTTAATTCAATGTTTTACCCTGTTAATTTGTAATGGCCTATGGCTTAAAACAACAGACTGACTGGCTGGCTATACATCCAAGGGTGGTATTTGCCTTCTTAACCGCTGCACCACACTGCTGGCTCATGTTCAGCCTGCTATTGACAAGTACCCCAGGATCCCTTTCATGCAGCACTTTGTCAAAGGCCTTGCTGAGATCCAGGGAAACCACATCTACCTCGACCCCTCCATCAAGCAACCTTGAGACCTTACCATAGAATTCCACAGGGTTCATCTGGTGGGATCTGATTCTGTGGAATCCATGCTTCATGGCTGCCAACCTCCCATCCCTGTCTAGTGTTTCTAGAGCCTTTCAATCATCTTTGCCAGAATGGACGTAAGGCTAACTGGACTGTAGTTCCCTATATCCCCTCAGCTACCCTTTCTGGAGATTGGAATCACTGATGCCACCCTCCAATCCCCCGGAACTTCTCCCATTTTCCACAAAGCCTCAAGAATGCAGGCCAATGGATGCGAGAGCAGTCCTGCCAATTCCCGAAGTGCCCTCAGTGTAGTCCATCCAGACCTGGTGCCTTTGTAACATCCAGGGCCCTAAGAAGCTCCTTGACTTCTAGTAAGGTGACTCCAATCTGTGTCCCCATAACCCCAACCTCATTTAGCTCACCAGGTATAATTCCCCCAACCCTCCTTGGGGAGAACACAGAAGCACAATAATCATTTAACATCTGTGCCTGTTCCCTCACATCAGTTACCAGATCCCCTCCCTTTTAGTATTTACATGAAGGTAGAAGCCCTTTCTGTTGTTCTTGACATTCTTTGCAAGTGTCAGCTCATTATTAGCCTTAGTCTTGTGAAGAATCCTTCTGCAATGTGCCGCCTCTTCCTGGTATACGCTTTTGTCCACTTGCCCCCGTGTCCATTTCCTGTGAAGGTCCCTCTTCCTTCTAATCTCCCTTACCAACTCTCTTCAAATCTACAGTTGCACTCTCCTACACCTCCCCACTTTGCTAATCAGTGGCATTGTTAAGGCTTGTGCCTTCAGGACCTCTCTTTTTAGAGCCATCCATCTCTCCTGAACATCTTTGCTTTCCATACCCCCTCCCAGGAGACTTACCCAAGCCTGGCCTTCAATTGACTAAAATTGGCCCTTGAGAAGTCCCAGCTCCTAGTGCTTGACCTACCACTCATCCCCACTCTCCTGATCTCAAAGCATAGGATGGAGTGGTCACTTGCAATCCAGAGCTCCCCTAATTTGCACATCATCCACCAGATCCTCCCTGTTGGTCAGATCCAAATCTAGGATGTTTCCTCCCCTTGTTGCTTCTTGGACCATCTGAATGAAAAATCCTCCCTCCATAACTTCTAGGAAGCAACAAGATCTAGCTGCTGCCACTGAGTGCAACTCCGAACTAATTTCAGGAAAGTTGAAGTCTCCCATTATGACTGTGTCCTCCCATTATGACTGTGTAGGATACCCTTCCAATCTGGTCTATCAGAGCATCATCCAGGGTCTCAGATTGACCCAGTGGGAGATAACATACCCCCACTATCAGATCCTTGGCCACCTCCAGACAAATCAGTCTTATCCACACTGTCTCTACTGATCCCTTCTACCCCCCACTCCCTATCTCATTGCACCCTATCCCTTCCTTAGCATATAGCACTACACCCCATCCCCTTTCCCTTCCTGACCTTCCTAAAAAGGGCATACCCTTCTTTATCAATACTGCAATCCTGCTTTTCATTCCACCATGTTTCTGTAACCTCCCCCCCACCCCCAGATTGTACTCACCTATTCCCAGGAGAGCCTCAAGCTCTCCTGCTTGTTTTCCACATGCTCCTAGCATTGGTGTACATGCATCACAGGTCTTTCCCATGAACCCCATTCCCTGACCTCCTCCTTCCTCCCAGCCTCCCTGGCACAGCAGGAACCCTGTGTGTAGTAGTCATGCCAGCCCCTGCAGTCCCTACATCACCCTGCTCCTGAAACCCTAATCCTGTTCCTTCTCCAATCTGAGTTATTTGAGTTGCCAGTCACAACAAATGATGCACATTTTAATAAACTATCAAACTTGCTTTAAGGACACACCAGGTTGGATCCAGCACTACAAAGGTAGATGGACTAATAATGAGATTTGATACAAGGCAGTTGCCTGAGTTTGTATGCTTCTTGTAGCAAATTTGATTAGGAATTTATTCTTAATAGGTGACCGTGGAAAACGTGGCCCAGCAGGAGCACCCCCTAAAATCATGCCATACATGCTGCTGGAGGTAAAAGGGGAAAAGGGAGACGAAGGCGAACCTGGTGTCAAAGGGCATCCTGGTTTCAAAGGTAATGTGCCACAATGTAGTCAGAAATGGGAGTGATATAGTATATTACTGGACATTTTTATTTATTTACAGTTTTTAAATAATTAACTTTCCTTACAAAAATTCACTGTCTGAAATATCAATTCAGATAATAATGAAAACCCACAAAAAGTAATATTGAAATAATGTTCATATTGTATATACCACTAAGGACAGCAAAGGGCTTCATTTCCAAGCTGCTGAAATTGCACTAGCAAAAAAGAAGGAAGGAAGGAAGGAAGGAAGGAAGGAAGGAAGGAAGGAAGGAAGGAAGGAAGGAAGGAGTGCTCAGACAGTTGTCTTATCTGAGGTCTAAGACTGCTTTGTGGAAGGTTAGCTGCTTACCAGTTTGACCTTAAATTAACATTAATTGTTTTTCTTATAGGTGATAAAGGGTCACTGGGCTTTCCTGGCCAGTCAGGAAGGCCAGGTTTACCTGGGTTGCAAGCATATGAAAAAGGTCAGAAAGGAAACCTTGGGATTAAAGGTATAAGAGGCATTCCAGGATATGCTGGTGTCCCAGGAGCTCATGGTATCCCTGGCTTCCCTGGAACCACAGGACAGAGGGTAAGCAAATATTGTGTGTGTCTGTTTTCTTCACAGTGTTTACTTACTTAATTTAAAAAGCAAAATTTCAAAAGCTGAATTACCCAAAGTAGATTAATGAGAGACCAAGTACTGGACCATAGAATACTTTGGCTTCCCAAATCCAAGGCTGGAAAGAAAGTTCTGACCTCAGAGCTGGGGAGCCATACTTCCCCAATTCCTTGCAGCCTCAGACCATGCCTGCTGCTTCTGCAAGGTCAGAGAATTGATTCTCTGATCTCCCTCATGTAGAAATACCACACCAGGTGCTTCTTCAAGATCAGAACATAAAGATCAGAGAAAGAGTTGGGGCAGGGAGGAGAGAAGATTGGGGCCACCAGGATATACAGTATCCTGAGAACACTCCGGCTTTCCTTCCTCCTGCTTGGCCATCCAAGTTGAAGTGCAGAGCTAGAGGAGCAGGGAGGTAGAGATTCTCTCTAATGCTGCTCTTGTTCCATACTGGATGCTTATAAGTCTCTGAATCAAGATGCTTATGCACAATTGAGTGTGCAATCAATAGGAAAGTGCACAGATTATGCACATGGTTTGATATCTTTGTTTGCTAGGTCAAATCAACTTGATTTTATGCAAATGCATTGTGTTTTGCATTATCAAGACTCATGATGACAAGATATGTTTGGAGAGTTAATCTCAAAGTCCAAAGAGAATGAAAAGTTTGTGTAGAATATTTATTCTGATTTATAGCTTTATGTCCATTTTCAACCATGTCACAGGGAGACAAAGGCATTTCAGGGATTCCTGGTATATTTGGTGGAAGGGGCCAGTCAGGAGAAGTTGGTGAGTACACTAATGTGCTACTTATGTAAGCTTACACACACACACACACACACACACACACACACAGAGAGAGAGAGAGAGAGAGAGAGAGAGAGAGAGAGAGAGAGAGAGTTGCATAAGGGCAATCCTGGAACTTAACTAGTTGAACAGGTTCATGAAGAAGAAAGCACTTCAGAATGGAAACATTAAGACTGAGAATGTTAGCCATCAAACCTTAAGCCTAACTTACATCAATAAACTGTCAGAGGCCTTCACATATTTTTTTTCAGAGGCCTTTCACATAGGTTCCTTAGATTGGTGTGCTACCCCATCTATTTCCAATTCAGAGTTCTGGTTTTTGGGCTTCAGTGTCACCACCCCAGGGTTTCTGTCAAGGTGTTGGTCATGCTGGTGGCCGACTTGAAATGCAGATCCAAGGACCAGACTATGAACAACATATGATCCATATGAGCCTGCCTCTGACAGCACCGATTTGTGGTGAATGAAGAAAAGAGCCCTCTGATGCCAACACAGACATTAGATCACCTGCAGGTCCAGCGTAATCCATGGCAGAAGAGAGAAAACAGTAGTTCACTTATCTGATCAGTCAAGGTCAAGTGCTGCAGTAGGTGCACCTGACTCTCCTAACCTGGCAGCTGGGCATGGGTTTTTTTCAAGGTTTTGCACTTTCACACAAGGCTTTTGAAGAACCTGCCCTTTCAGTTGAAGATCAGGAACTGGGTCAGAAAGTCTGTAATCATTCTCAGCATAATCAAGGAACAATTGGCTACTGGAGGCAGGAACATTAAAGAAAAGTGTCATGCTTTGCAACATCCAGAGGATGTTGTTTGTTGAGCTGGCGGAGCACACTTATGGGGCCAGGTGGTTTCAGGTATATGACTGTATCAAGCTGTGTGCAAGTAAGTTGGCACTACAGCCATTCCCAAATGTATTCAGATGTTTTCCGTTGCACAGACAAAACATTAGCAAAAACCCTCTCCACAAGCCAGGCAAAAGCAGTCACAATCACTTCACTGGGAAATCTGTGAGATCCTGGATTAGATAGGGAAGCAACTAGAAAAAAAGAAAAAATGGGACAAAAAAAAGAGAAATCACTCAAAAAACCTGATAGTGCTGTCAAACTTGAGTACGTCTGTTTGACTGTCAAACAATTGTTTGGTCTCTGTATCCACAGCCAGAAATTTTTCAATGCTTTGAGAAGCTAATAATGACTCTGTGACTCCTTCAAACAAATAGGTTGGGAGATTTATGTCAAGTTTCAGGCCCTGGGAAATAGGAGGCATGAATGCAACAGAACACAAGACCTCTTGTACAGCTTTTCACCCATCAATCTGAACCCCACTGTTGCAAAGACACCTTGATTCTGGAATCCATTTTGTTCTGGAAGGCAAGGCTAAAATAACTGCCAGAAACAAATAATCCAGCTTTTGAATGCTTTACAATAAGAATCCACCTAATATATCTAAGCATGTCTTAATTTAATTAAAGGGGGTGTCTCCCTCTGATTAAGGGGCATATGCTGATGCTTTCTTGGCTGCCATATTATCACCTAGCCAATTTCCCATGAGGTTACCTTTGAACTGGGCAATTAAAAGTCCCAGCAGGAAAGATAATCCAACCCAGAAGGATCATCTGCTATGTCCCATGTTAGCAAAGTCAGACTAAAAGCTCTAAGTACCGTTAATTATGCCTTTTGTTCTGAACATTATGCAAACTTGAATATGAGAACCAATTCAAAGGTGGGGTGCCTCATTCCACCTTCTGTTTAGTAGATGGAGCCAAACCTTTGTTCCATTTCTCCTTTGAGCAGTTACAGCTTGTATTTTTTTGTATGAAACAGCAGGAGTCTGGGGCTTTAGAGTTCTTGTTAATTTATTTATTATTCATGTATTTCATTTCTGTCCTCCTTAAGGTGCTCATGGGAGCTAATGGTAATAAAATACAGCTTTAAAATTTCTAAAACAAAACATTAAATAGATTCATTAAAACAACTAAAGTGCCCTTCTGTCAACTGTTTGAACAGAATGCTGACTTTTATGAGTGCATGGACTGATACTGCTCGACGCTTTTTATGTTCTAAGAACATAACAAGAATAAAGGAATTACATGAAATAATAACCACCCAAATACAAAACCTTTTGGCAACAGAGAAGCTTCCATGCCAAAGAATTAAAACAAAAGCAACCAAGAATTATCTGCATCTACTGTATCTTTTACAACTTTTGACATTCCATTTCAGAAATGAGGTTCCCCTTTCTTTTATTCAAATAAATATAACTGTTCTTTGCATTATTTCTTTTTCTTTTCTTCAAAATCTATCCAATTTCTCATGTGTTCCATCATTTCAGTAGCACCCATGCCTCCCCAGTCAAGCAGCCCTCCAGTAGCTCTCGAAACTGCTGCTCAGCCATTTTCCTAGTGCCACCTCTCTTCCTTATCTCAGAAATCTTCTGTGTGTGCACCACACCTCTGATGGAGGCCTCCTTTTGGTCTGACTTTCCATGTGCATATAAAAGCTGTGTTTTATAGTCTGTATACAGTTGACTGAGGGTGTGCAGTAATAGAAAAAGTACTAATGGAAAAATAGTACAAAAATTACTTTTTCACATTGACTATGTTTGATAGAGTTGAGGTGGCTAGATGGGGTCACTGGGATGATGGGTGTGGGCTTAGGTGGACTGCAGGGAGTGGTGGTGGACAGGAGAGCCTGGAGGAATGTTGTCATGGAGGGGCGGGCATGACTTTGCAACTAAACAAAACAAAACAATGTTTTATAGGTATAGATATAAAGATTTTATTTTTTGCTTCCAACAGGCAGTAGTGGTGACGTTATAAATTTGCCAGGAAAACCTGGTTCTAAAGGGAATGCTGGCATGACTGGACTCACAGGTATTGTGTGAGTGTGTGTGTGTGTGTGTGTGTGTGTGAGAGAGAGAGAGAGAGAGAGAGAGAGAGAGAAAATGGTGCAAAACAAATCATAATTAGATGATATATCTTATTATGAAAATAATGCCGTATTGTATGTAGTTATGGAGTGCCTATTACATTTTTTCACTGTGTAAAGTTTCATTTTAGATAAAGATAACCAAATAAATATACATAATTTATATATAATATGTTTTAATTGCCAAATGCTTTACAAGTTCGTATTCCTCCATGTGACAGTTCCAATAAGTTAATTACACTTTTAATTTCCAGAATGAATGGTTAATGGTTCTGCCATGCCTCAAAATACAATCCTATACATATCTTCTCAAAAGTAAATTATGCTAGATGGCTTCTACCAGGAGTGAAGATTGTAGTATACTCACTATCAACATATTGCTGAAAGATTTCCATGAACTTTTCAGCTTCCCCCACATGAGCACTAGCAGCTTCCCCATGCATCACAACACTATGGATGCAAGTTCTTTTCCTAAATTTATCAAACCACCCATTACTTGCTTTAAACTGCTCATTTTCAGCACTGGTTCCAGGTGTGTGTTTCTTAAGTTCATTATACAGCTGCTAGCTTTCTCACAAATAATCCTCCCAGAAATGTTATCACCAGCCAATTGCTTCTTATTTATCCACACTAGGAGAAGATTTTCCATCTTCTCAATAACATGCAATCTCCTGGAGGTTGTCACACCTTTAGCCACATTTGCAGCTTTTATTGCTTCCTTATTCTTAAGAATGGTGTACACCGTCAACTTCAACATCTTAAAATATAGCCACCAGACCTGCCACACACACCCCACTTTCATGCTTCCTGATAAGTTCCTTTTTCACCTCAATCATCAATCTTACAACCTTCCCACACTCTCTCTGGATGCCATGGGTGTTATGTAGGGGCTATAGTATAACCAAAAAATAAAATGAGAAAAAGCACTGAAAATACTTGGAAAGGCATGCACTGAAAAGATACTGAAAATGATTGAAAACTTGGGCATATAATAGATTATGTTTCTGCAGCAACCACATTTTTTTCCACCACATGTGCAGTTTGAACTTAGAAGTATTGTTCGAACTTCAGAACAATTTTATTCTCAGTTTTAGCATTTGAACTCTGAAACAGCCAGCTCTTTTTCTGGCAGAAGATGGAAATTCTGACTGCTTTCTTACCTGATCAATGAGAGCTCATGAGAGTCTTCCTTGTGGAAACCTTCCAGCTCTCCAAATAACAAATCATAATGGCTTGCTATCATGTTAATTGTGATTCAAGGGCCCTTGCTGGTGTGGTGGCCATACATAGACATGCATGGCTTTGGGCAGCTAATCGTCCTCAAGAATAGGAATTCTGTGTTCCAGAATAGAGAGCATGCCATTCAGTGGAAAAGGCCTCTTCCATGTCAGGATGGAAGAATGGTTGGACATGCTCCAGAAGGCTAATGTGATGGCCTGATGCATGAGCATTAGCTCTTTCCAACCTAGAACACATAAATGTCCTGAGCCCAATTGACTCGGTACCATATGTACCCAAGCAGACAGCCAAGCTCTTTTTCTGGGTGTCAGCAGTTTGGACAAAAGCTTCCAAACTGACAATGTCATCAGGACACTACCCATTTCCAACAACCTAAATGAAGGTTAGACACCGAAAAAAGAAAGCCCTGATGGGTAGCATGAACCAATTCCATTGTCACTCCATTTGTGGACCGCCTAAGTCATCATCTTCCTATTTGGGAAACCATCACATCAGACTGGTGAGTACTTTCCATAGTACAACATGGATACAAAATTGAATTTGAGATCTTGCCACTTCTCGAAATGGTCCACATAACTCCTCCCTCTACAATCCTAATGGACGAAGTTGGCGACTTACTACCAAAGAGGGCAATCCGACCGGTAAACCAATCTGAAGCAAAGCACAGTTTTGTGGTAATATACCATTCCAAAAAAAGATGGCAGTCAGTGTCCAATTTTGAACCTACAGGGAGTAATCCATTTCATTCTGCTCAAAAATTCCAAATGGTCTCCCTGCAAGCCATAATGCCATTACTACAAAAAGGGGACTAGTTTGCATCTGTAGATTTGAAGGATGCATACTTCCATATAAGCATCCATCCAGACTGTACCCATTTTCTGTGGCTCCAAGTTGGTATCCCTATGAATTCAGGGTGCTACCTTTCAGTCCATCTACAGCACCAAGGGTATTCACCAAAGGTATGGCTGTTTGTGAAGACCTATGATTCCACATGGTGAAGATTTACCCCTACTTGGATGACTGGTTACAAGTTGCTACATCCAGAGCCAACCACCTCCATTCAGTTGAAAAGACGTTTTGCAGTTGCTATTGCTAAAACCATCCCAAAGAAAAAGAAATGCAAGAAAGCAAAATGGCTGTCTGAGGAAGCTTTACAAATAGCTGAGAAGAGAAGGGAAGCAAAAGGCAAGGGAGAAGAGGAAAGATACACCCAACTGAATGCAGAATTCCAGAGAATAGTTAGAAGAGATAAGAAAGCCTTCATTTAAGTGCAAAGAAATAGAAGAAAACAATAGAATAGGGAGGACCAGAGATCTCTTCAAGAAAATTAGAGAAATGAAGGGAATGTTTCATGCAATGATGGGCGGGATAAAGTACCAAAATGGCAGGGACCTAACAGAGGCAGAAGAGATTAAGAAGAGATGGCAAGATTACACAGAGGAACTATGCAAGAAAGAGCTTAACATCCCTGATAACCACGATGGGGTGGTCACTGACCTCAAGCCAGACATCCTGGAATGTGAAGTCAAATGGGCCTTAGGAAGTCTGAGCAACAACAAAGCAAGTGGCGGTGACAGTATTCCAGCTGAGCTATTCAAAATCTTAAAAGATGATGCAGTAAAAGTGCTACACTTAATATGCCAGCAAATTTGGAAAACTCAACAGTGGCCACAAGATTGGAAAAGGGCAATGCCAAAGAATGTTCAAACTACCGCACCATTGCACTCATTTCACATGCTAGCAAAGCTATGCTCAAAATCCTACAAGCTAGGCTCCAGCAGTATGTGGACCGAGAACTACTAGAAGTACAGGCAGGATTTCGAAGAGGGAGAGGAACTAGAGATCAAATTGCCAACATACGCTGGCTCATGGAGAAAGCTAGGGAGTTCCAGAAATGCATCTACTTCTGACTGTGTGGATCACAACAAATTGTGGCAAGTTCTTAAAGAGATCTTTAAGACCATCTTATTTGTCTCTTGAGAAACCTATATGCGGGTCAAGAAGCAACAGTGAGAACTGGACACAGAACCATTGATTGGTTCAAAATTGAGAAAGGAGTTCGGCAAGGTGGTATATTGTCGCCCTGCCGATTTAATTTATATGCAGAGCACATCATGAGAAAGGCGGGGCTAGATGAATCACCTGTTCGAATTAAGATTGTTGGGAGAAATATCAGCAACCTCAGATATGCAGATGATACCACTCTAATGGCAGAAAGTGAAGAGGAACTAAAGAGCCTCTTGATGCGGGTGAAGGAGGAGAATACAAAAGTTTGCTTGAAGCTCAACATTAAAAAAAAACCTAAGATCATGGCATCTGGTCCTATCACTTCCTGACAAATAGATGGGGAAGAAATGGAGGTAGTGACAGATTTTATTTCCCTGGGCTCCAAGATCACCACAGATGGGGACTGCAGCCAAGAAATTAAAAGACACTTTCTCCTGGGGAGGAAAGCTATGGCAAATCTAGACAGCATGCTAAAAAGCAGAGACATCACCCTGCCAACAAAAGTGCGTATAGTCAAGGTAATGGTTTTCCCAGTTGCAATGTATGGCTGTGAAAGCTGGACCATAAGGAAGGCTGAGCACCGAAGAATTGAGGCCTGTGAATTGTGGTGCTGGCGGAGATTCCTGCGAGTCCCTTGGACAGCAAGGTGATCAAACTGGTCAGTCCTAGAGATCAACCCTGACTACTCTTTAGAAGGCCAGATCCTGAAGATGAAACTCAAATACTTTGGCCACCGAATGAGAAGGAAGGACTCCCTGGAGAAGAGTCTAATGCTGGGAACAATAGATGGCAAAAGAAGAAGGAGACGGCAGAGAATGAGGTGGCTAGATGGAGTCACTGAAGCAATTAGTGTGAGCTTGAGTGGACTCTGGGGGATGGTGGAGGACAGGAAGGCCTGGAGGAATGTTGTCCATGGGGTCGCGATGGGTCGGACGCAACTTCGCGACTAACAACAACAATTGCCTGCCCGAGGAAATTAACATTTTTTACTATTTATTTTTGCAGGGTGGAAAGGAGCCATAGGTGAAAAGGGTATACCCGGTGATCCTGGTTTTTCTGGCATTGAAGGCATGAAAGGATCTCAAGGCTCCGCTGGTTTAAGAGGGCAAGCAGGTAATATTTCCTTTTTTAAAACTTATCTCTTATTGTAATATCTGTAGCAAAGAAGGCAAATGATATATGCTTATGAGCATGCTATAAAATTAGAAAACTTAAAATTCCCAAATGTGTATTATTCTTAAAATGAATAATGCAAATAATATTTACTTTTCCACATTTAGTGAATACAAGTATGGTAATTGTCAGTAAGTGAAAATTTTGGTGTTGTCTAGGGGCTTTAGATCACTCAGATTTTTCAGAGCTGGGTATTTGTACTTAGGTCCTTCCACCATGCAGCCAACACAAAATGAGTCATACCAGCTGCTTCTCCAAGATCACAAAAGGTCTCCAAAAGTGACCTTGGAGAAGGGGTTTAGGAGCATTTAAGGCAGGGGTGTCCAAATGTTT